CCCTAGTATGCTCCAGTTTGTTCATATGTCCTGATTTACAGAACTATGTTTACTATGACTTCCAAAGTGGATCCATTATGGTTAATGCAAACCATAGTGGCTGATGGGACATGCCCAGAAGGCTACACTGGAGCCTGAAGATGCTCCAGTGTGATCTTCCAGGGTTCTTGAGCCAGCCATTCTCGTGCTCTGATCTCTCTCCCTGAGTGACAATCATTTGGTGCCTCTCCAGCTTTTGCAGTCACCCTCCCCTATTCAGAGAGGTTGAATGCCTCTCCGAAGGCTTTCTTACTAGCTATAAGTATTTTAATGTACAATAGATTAGGATTTTCAATATTTTTGCCTTACCCCTTTGCCTTAACCCCAACAGTTTATCTGATGTGGAATCCAGTCATCATGTAGAAAGCACATCTGCTGTGGTTGAATGCCAAATCGCTACTGGAATACCAGTTGAAATGTCTGTAACTGGTCAGCAGTCCCACTACAGTCTTGCCCAAACTCCTGAGAGTCTTTCCTGTTTTAACGTCACAGCAAAATATATACATCTTGAAGGAAGAGGTGATGGAGGCTATCAGAACAGAGAGAAGAAGGGAGTCTCTTTCCAGCAGCCAAGCCTCTTGACTTGGACTATTTTCACAAAAATTCCTGCAAAGATTATTCTGTATTATCATCCCACATACAGGTGAGGCTGGAGATAAAAAAGATAGATACCAGCTTGTCTACAGAGCCAGTAAGTTCATGGGCAAGTTCAACTGACCCACAGACCAAGCAGCTCTCAGCTCACTCAAACATTGAGGTCCCCACTTAGCAGAATAAACTATCATCCCATAGTGCCTGCATCCCGCAAGGTACGTCCAACACCTGCCGTAACAGTTTACCTTGTGGGTGAGAAGTCGATTTTTCCCTCCACAACTCCCATTTTCCATGCTCCAGAGATACATCGCAAACCACCCTCTCATGGACTAGAACAGTGACGGTGAAGCTATGGCACACGTGCCACAGTGGGTACGAAGAGCCCTCTGTTGGCACGTGAGCCAAGTCACCCCAGCATTGCCATGCATATATTCGGAAAGAGTGACAGCACCAGGCAATGACGTCACTCATTAGCCGTGACGTGCCACAAGTGGCGGCATCAAAAGGGGGCCAGAGGCAGGCACAACAGCCGTGGCAGGTGCGCCAGCCTGGGAGCGGGCAAGCAGGAGTGCTGAGCGCTGGCAACAGCGCCCTTCTCCTGCCTCCTCTTCCTCCTCCCGGTCCGCAGCATGTGAGTAGCCGCCCTCCTAGCACAGTGACGGGACCCTGCCGACTTGGTAGCTGCAGGCCCAGCCAGGCAGCCACGCACCCACCTGCCTGCTCCCAGGCTGGGCTCCTGCGCCAGTGGCTGCAGGGGGTGGGGGTGAAGCTAGGCGAAGGGAGCAGGCGATGGGGTCGAGGCAGTGGAGCAGCAGCAGCTGGAGTGAGCAGGAGGAGAGCAAGGGCGGCCAGGATCGATATGGCGCTTCCTGGGGAAGGAGGCCGAAATGAGGAAAAGTGGAGGCTGAAACGGCTGCACAGCGAGAGGAGTGGGCGTGTGGCGGGGACCCCCCTCCTCACCCAACTCCACTCACCAAGGCTTGGCAGTGCTGTGAGGGCACCTCAGGGAAGATCCCAATGGAAGCGTGGAAGGGATCAGCGACAGCCTCTCCTCAGCTCTAGTTTACGTCTTTCTCCCTTCCAGTAAACTTTCAAGCACTACTGAAGCTCCAGTGGCTGGTTTGGGGGTGAAGAGGGAGGGAGGGAGGGAATGTGCACGACCGGGTGCAAGCAAGACCAGCGTCCCCCAACTTGGGGACACTGAACGTGGACATGGCTCCTTCTCTCTGTTACTGTGTTTTTCTTTTAAGACAAAAGATGTTAATGTTTGAGTTGCTTTTTTCTAAACTAAAACCTCAGTATTCAGGTTTTATTGCAGGGTTGGCACTTTGTGATTAATAAGTGGGTTCTGGGTTGCAGTTTGGGCATTTGGTCTCTAAAAGGTTCGCCATCACTGTACTAGAAGAATGAAAGATAATTCTTGGAAAGTGCTATGTAAAATTATTTGTATAATAATTGGTATATATTGTCTTTAATGACAAGAGTTGTAGACAAGCAAATCAGGATATCTGCTTCCTGCAAGTTAAGGCTGGGAATAGAAAGAAGGTGCCATCTAAAAACTGCTTCTCTCAAATCAACAGTGGGACAATGTGTTTAACTGCTGTGGAGGAATATGAGGAATGAGACTACCAAGGTCTTAACCTTTGCCATTCTGGTATTAATTCCTCCTAAACAACAATTTCATTTAAAAAGCATAAGTGACAGCTGGAATGACAGAAACTTCTCCTGGAGCAACTAGGGTTGAGATCTCCTCTACTAGCCCTAATCCAGAGCTTTTAAAGGATCGGGTTCCCAGAAATTCAACTTCTGCTGCTTCCCCATCCCTGAAAAGCCATCTGGTCTCTCATTTCCATGCAACAATTCAAAGCACAAGGGCATCCCTAGACAGAGCAACAGTCATGAAGCTAGAAGGCTAGTAGGTGACCAATATAGTTTCCTTCCTTAATTTGCAGTACTTCTCGGGATAAGCACCAGGTCTTGGTTGTAGTTTCAGAGCAAAACTTTATAAGGCTGAGCAGTTCCACTTTATGGAGCCGAACTCAAAATGGTACTGAATAGGATCACAAAGTTGTTCAGAATGCAATCTATACATGTTTAAGCAGAAAAAGTCCTATTTATTAACATTCCAATTGTAGGCTATTGTAGCAGCATATAAATTGAAATTATTAATACATACAGTATTATTCAAGAAACCCAAAGAGGCAAACACATCCCTCATCCTGTCTGTTTTTGTCCTCACAATCCTTTGAAGCAGGTAGGATAAGAATCTGTGACCAGCCTAGTCATACAGTGAGTTTCAGGGCTAAGTGAGAACTAGAACCTGGCTCTCCCAACTCTCAGTCCAGCACTCTTCCTACTACACCGGCTCCTACAACATCTAGCATTTCCCAGCCAGCACAGGATCGAGTCCTTAGATGTTAAAAAAAAAGGGGGGGGGAGCTGTTCCTAACTCATTTCTCACCAACATAATTATTCTTTTATTATTATTTGTGTGGTTGTGGCACAATTATCTATGCTTTATTTGGAACACAGCTCTTACAACAGATGTTTTTAAACTCATCTAGCAAAAGATAAATGAGGAAGGCAGTAGGCTATGCAATGCAGACAAATTTATGGCTCATCAGAAGCTAAAAGTACCAACCCGGTTAGAGTTTATTGAAGCAAGCTTTATAAAGAGTCTCCCAGCTAGGAGCTTTACAGAGTTGAAATCAGAGGAGTTGTATCCATATCACCTGGCAGAGCAGTTACTTTCAAGAAGAGGGCCAGTATTGTTTAAGTAGCAGCATGTCTGGCTCCTCAGATAACAAATCTCTGCGATGTTGCGTACGGCCAAGTATCTACTTCCCATGCCACTGACACAGACGACTATATAATACAGAGTGGGGGGTGGAATTCCAGTAAGAGCCTTGAGAAAGAGCAGCCATGAAAAATATACCATTCGTCTCTTTTAAACACATAGCTGGATCCAGGCTTCAGTTGCACTCCTGCGCATGTTTAGAGCAAAAAAAAAGTTGTACAACTTCCATGCTGCCTGAGGAATGCTGGAAGTTGTAGGACTTTTTCCGGTCTAAACATATATAGGGTTGCACCTTTAGTCATGCTCTGCGTAGCCCCGGTGAAATCAATGGGACAAGTTACAGGTAACTAAAGTCCAGATCCAATCCATTGCTTCAGTATCACCCAGTATTCCCCCTCATGCAGCTATTTCACTTATGGCATTCAACCTACGGACATGCACAGATAAAACACGCCTGCATGTAAGCAGTCATGTGTCAGGAATGCACACCTGTCCGCCTATTTAGCCACGAGTGTTGGCTTCAACTAGCTACCGCTAACTTGCAGCCTTTCAGCCTACTCACACACAAAAATGACCACGAGCGCAGCCTTCACGGACAGCTTTGCGCAGGAGCCCCAGCAAGAGAAGACCAAAATAAATGCTTTCTATAAAACCCCCACAGCACGCAAAAGAGTTGGTCGCGGATCCTTTAAATACACAGGCGGACGCCACGCTGCGAGAACTTTGAAAAAGAAACTCCGCTGCCGCCTCTGCTGCACAGAGCCGGTTGCCAAGTCTCTCCAGGTAACAAAAGATAAGGCCACCGTGGGCATTTTGCGAGCCCAGCTCGCGTTTTGTTTCTGCCTGCTGCGCTTTTCCTGGGCGTGTGCAGCGTTGCCCCTTTAGTGTTTCCCAGCGGGTGAGACCCGGAGCTGCACGGAGACTGACTGCCAAGGTACCGGGGATGCTGTTGCCGATGTAAAGGAAGAGCGAACCGTGTGAAGAAGCAAGAGAAAAGCGCGGCTCCTGCTCCGGGAAGGGACGCTGCACGGGAAGCGCTCCCAGGTGTGTGGAGAGCAGCGCCCGGCCGCCGCTCTGCCCCCGCCGAAACTTTGCTTGTTCGCCGGCGCAAGCCTCCCGCTCCGTCCCTTAGTCCTGCTACTTCGCCTCCTCTGGCCAACCCGCGCCCGGCCCCCTTCCTCACGCAACGCGCGTTCTTTCCCCCCGCTTCCCTATTCAAAGGAGCAGCAGGAACAATGACTCGTATCCCCGACGGAGGAAACCATGGGGCCAGCGTCTCTAACGACAACGAAGCGCCCTCCCTCCCCCCGAGAGGAGCCCAACGGGGGTGGGGGACAAGGGAGAGCCAGGTGGCCCCGATAGCCCCCGTCCTGCCGTCCGTCCGTCCGCCCCCCCCCCCCCCGGGGGGCCCCCCCCCCCCCCGCCCCCGGGGCCCCCCCCCCCCCCCCCCCGCCCCCCCCCCCCCCCCCCCCCGGAAGGCGCTCCACGGCTCTGCGCTAGCGGACGGCGCTCCGCCGCAGCGGGTCTCCCCCAGCCTCTCGCCCGGGACGCGCAAAGCGGCGGCTCTTACTGGGCGGGACTGGCGGCAGCTCCAGCGATCCCGAGCCGGGCGTCCTTTGCGGAGTAAATCCAGCCGCGGCGCGGAGCAGCCGGCGCGAGGCTCCCGCTCCTTAATTCATTCGAAGAAGCTCGGGGGCGGCGGAGCTCCTGCAGCGACCGTTCGGGAAGCGCCGTCGGTGCACTTCGGGGCGGCGGCAGCAAGCAAGCAGCCTCCTCCTCCCCGCTCTCGCCCGCGAGGAAAGCTCGCCGGAGCCGCTGGTGCGGCTGCTTGGAAAACCCCCCTCTCGGCTGCGGCAGGCGGCTTTCGGCTCCACGCAGTTGGCCCCTCCTCGGGGAGGCCTGGCTTAGCCGCCGGCTGCAGCTGGAGTCCCCGGCGGGCGGGGGCGGGGAGGAGACGGGCGGGAGGGTGGAGCACTTGGCCTTGTCTGTGGAGGCGACGCCGGCAGGAGGGCAAATTGCAGCCTCCACGCCCGGCTACCGTTTATACATGCAGCGGGCGCTTCGGGAGTGGGGACCCTCAGGTTTCCCAGCTCTTCACTTGAGTAGGCGCTCCTACTATGCTTCTTGCCAGGAACGCGAAAAACAGTTTCCCTAGAATTTTTCCGGCTTCCAGCCAAAGTGCGTCTCATCAGCTGGGTAATGTTCGCCTCTGGTCTTGATGGTCTTACGGGGGACCCTTTAGGCCTTCTATGCGTTATAGTTCCATAGTGAAGCAGATCGCTAACTTTTCTCTCCTGGTCTGCTATTCCGGACTTTACCATGGATTCTGTGTTAGAACAGGAACCACAAAACCTGTTGGCCAGCCCTGGTTTCAAATGCTGCTACACTCAGTCCCTGCATTTTTGCTTCTTAAAGTCACCGGTTGTAATCCTATGCCTTTTAAGACAAGTCTTTCAACTCCAGCATACCTGAGCCAGTCATACCACAGACATAAGATCCCAGCCTTCATTCATGGCTACAAGAATGAAATGGAAGTTGCTTTTGATGCCCTTTCACCTGCTGCTTCCTGGCTGAACCATTGGAGCTGGGGGGTGGGGTTCATGGTCTTTGGCCCCAGAGTCCTACCCAAGCTACGCCATCACATTGCGCTCCTGTTCAAATCGCACCTGCAGGTCTCTTTACAATGTGATTGTTACCACCCTTGTCTGAATAACAGACAAAAAACAAGCAACAGCTGTGCCTTTTCCCAGAGGTGATGGGAAAGCTGAGCCTGTTGAATGGATGTCAGTTCTGCAACAGATGTGGAAGGCACAGGAACACTGACAGAAGAGACATGGCAACCAGCTTTGCAAAAGCAGCCACACAGTATCCTGACTATGTTTATTGTTAGTTGTCCATGCCCTTGTGTCTCACACACAAGAGAGTGTGTAAGGTGCAGATGGCCACAAAGGTGATGTTCTGCATCACCTTGGTTCCTGTTGCCAAAAGTTATAGGGCAAATGCAATTAAACTTCTCTATCCTTTCACCACCAGGCAGGAGCTCACATAGTCAACCAGGAAGCTGTTCCCAAAATGCCTTGTGAGTGAGCTGGAATGTTGCAGGAGTTTCTTGGCTCAGAAGTATAGACTGGGACAAGTAACAGCCCTGTGTGGGTGGGAGATTAAGCCCTACTATCCACTGCAAACTATGTTATTTCTTCATGTTTTTATGTTTTCAGAAATGGTGGTCAGCTTTTCTTCTTTGTCCTAGAATGCAAGGTGCTTACCTATTCCATCTACAATTACTATTTTGAAAAGAGCCTAAACTAAACTTTATGGCCTCAAGATCTGGCAGAAGTTTTTGAACTTGGTCTCTCCTGCATCTTATACAGCCTAGTCTGATGAAGAGAGCTGGGAAAGTTAAGAGCTTGCACAATCTTTTGCAAGATTCTGATTGGTCCTAATAAAGTAGATTTTGCATAACTGTGGATTTTAGATTCCCCTCCTTGCCTGAAATGTGCATGTTTTACTAATAGAGCAGAACAGTTATCCATGTTCTTTAGGAAACTCAAATTGTACTGCAATAGGTTCCCATGGCATTATGGACTATGAAGGAATATGAGACAGCCATGGCAAAAGGTGCACACTGTCGTATTGAATAAAATATATACTAAAGGCCTGGGAATCTGCTTCCACAAATCTGTGTTACCCAAAGAATGCTCAGTTGCATCAGATGGCCTTGCCTTTGGTAAACTGAACCTGGCAAAGGGTTGCCCAAAATTTACCACAAAGCTAGAAAGGGTTAACACTGAATGATGCTCCCAGGAGTAAATTTGCTAGGCAAGTCTCATCTGAAAATTTAAATTGATACATTTTCTTCTGTTTTCCAAACTGAAAGAAAACAAGACATCATTAATGGCACAACTCTACTATTCTATGAAAGTCTTGCAGAAAAATACAGCTGATAATTACCCTGAACAAATCACGTTGTGCCTAATTTGAAAAATATATTTGCAAAAATTTATCAGAAGTGCTAATATTGACAAACACAGGAAATATTGATATACTTAGATGAAAAAGCTTTTATCTAGGTGAAATAGAGAATGGCATGTGAGGATCTCCAGATTTTCCTGGAGATATGACCAACATGGCCAATTGTGAGGGATGCTAGGGGTTGTAATACAGTAACATTGGAAGGACCACAGGTGTCCCATCCTTCAGGTAAAGGACACTGGAAGATGCTTCCACAATATATTAGAAGCTGTTGGTAACAGCAAACAAAAAGAAATAAATTTGTCAACAGAGCATACTTGTCAGGGGCTCCCAACAATCCCCTTCCTGTTATGGTACAATCTGCTGAGCCCACAGTCAGGCAAAGAAGTTAAGGCTAGCATTAAGAAGCTGAACTTACATCCACAGCCCTAAAAGTTCTCAGCAGAGCATGGAAATACTCAATCTTGTCATCTGTCAGCAATCAAAAGCAATGCCAAATCTCTTCAATTTTTAAATCACCATCAGCAGTAGCAACCAGACCACCCACTCTGAGGAAAATGTCCATTCATTCATCACTTAACCAGTCACCACTAAAACTAGTGGCAGGATGTCTATAATTGCAGCAGGAGGAAGAAAAACTGTGCTGTACTGGATACTAATGTTAGGATTGGGCAATTGTAGCATTTTCAGTAGTTTTGTTAATAACTCTTTCAATGTAAGCCTCTTTGTGAGAGCTTGCCTTGAAGTTGGGGTAGAAACAAATAATACAAAATAAATGTCCACTTTTATGTCTTTTGCTGTATGGAACATAATTTATATTTTGCAGTATCAGCACTTTTTAGCTTCAGAGGCACAAATATGTGAGGTTTCTTTAGGCATTCTCTGGAATTCTTCTTTGACCCTTGTTTGAACCAGAATTATTATTTTTCCTGGAGATCAGCCATTCTTTTAGTTTTCCTGCCAGGAATTATTCCTGGAACACATGAATCAAGATGCTAACAGATACATATAGGTATCGCTTGCTAAAGAGTGAAAGTTGCCCTCCCAGTGTTGCTCTTTCATGCAGATGGGGGCAAAAAGTAATTATTTCTTATGTGTCGCCATTGCGCAAATATGGCTTGTTCCCTGGAGCCCAAGGAAAGGCAGCAACTTCCCGCCGAGGCTCGGGCAATGTGCAGAAGGCAGCTACCTCCCTCCAGTGACTCCATTCCACTTCAGAAAAGAAGCTCTGTTTGCACAGCAGGGACAAATACTGAATTAAATACAAACTTTTATTCTTCATTCCTGGTGCACAAGTAGGGCTTCTTCCCTGAAGTGTAATGGGATCCACCTGGAGCCAGGACTGGACTAGTGGACTTCCAGGCCAACCAGTTTGATCTCTGCTCTGTGCCACTGATGTGAGCCCTTTCAACTTGCACTGGTGGTTCAGAGTAGACCCTGACACCAGCCTGAGGCCACTCCAGCTGTTGGAAGGGATGGTGCCCCACCACTGTTGGGACTCTGCATGGAGGAGAAGAGGTGGTCCCTGCTGCCAGCTCTTGAGGAGACTTGGCGAACCCCTGTGGTGGGACCTCCACTGTACACCAACACCGTCACCAACAGCGACCTTTGCTGCATGTCACCATACTGAGGTTCAGGACAAAGGCTGGCAGCAGGGGTCAGGAGGGCTTCTGAAAGCCCCCGCACCATTTGGGCACTCGAGGGACAGCTGTCAACAGGGCTCATATGGCCAGTGGCAGTAGCTCTTCCCTGCCACCATCGCTGGCCCAGAATGGCTGATAGGGTTGGTGGGAACTGGAAATCATCTTCTGTGCTACCAGTCGTAAGTCTGGGGGAAGCTTCTCATAGCCTCCACCAAGTGCTGCTCGGGGGCAGGTGTTGGCCATGCTCACTGCCTAACCGCTTGGACAAATGGTAAGGAGAGCTTGCTGCTTTTGTCCAGTAGTTTGTTCATTCCCGGGCTTGACTTATGATGGGCCATATCAGTCTGTCTCAGACAATACAACAACCCAGCTAGGGTCAAGCCAACCCTTCTTCAGACCGCTGGTTCTTACCATGGTTGCCCTACCACAATAAGTACCAATGGTTGCGAACTACAATGGGCTTTTCACAACACGTGTCCCCCTTCAGGTAGATTTCATGGGTATTGAATGTGCAAAAGCTCACGCTGGTCAGTTGTGAAGGCTTCCGGCCTCTATGTACATGGTTGCACACATACAAATGTCTTTCAATCAGTAGAGAAAATGTACTGTTGCCCTTTTGTTGTTCATTTATTAACTTAATTTGTTATATTTGCATCCTACCATTTTTCTTTCAAGGACCTCAAGGCAGCTTACATAGTCCTCCTCACCATTTTGTCCTCACAACAGCCCTGTAAGGTAGGTTAGGCTGAGAGTTAGTGATGGGCTCAAAGTCACCCAGTGAGATTTGTGTCCAGTCGGCCACATGCTGTAACATGGGAAGTGGCCCCCAACAAACATGCTGTTCCCTGGCACCTCAGCAGTGCGCAAGCGCTTATTACAAATCAGCTGTACTGAAACTGATGAAATCGTTCGGAACTGAAGGTGTGATAGAAGAATGTTGCTCTCAGCAAGAGCCCCAGTTTCTTGGTGTTCTTGTGTGATCTTCCCCCGGCAGCCTGTGGGCTGCTCGGCTTTCCATGCTCCAGTTAAAGCCCGGGGAAGTCCTGAGGCAGAGTCGCCCAGGGTTTCTTCAAGGCAGAGCAGGCAAGCCGGAGGCTAAGCTCAAAACTCCCGGGAGAGAAATGACCACATACCCTGAGAGCAGAACGATACAAAACCCTTTCAGAGGGAAGAAGAACTTCAGGGACTGGCA